TATATTAAAATCGAAAAATCCTATTACAAATAACCAAAAATCGGCAATTTCATGTTAAAAATCAGAAATATTATATTAAAATCAGAAATATTTATTAAAATCGGAAATATTATATTAAAATTGCCAAAAAATCAGACAGCCATATTAAAAAGGGCAAAAATCTGATTTTTATTTATTTGACCTGTATATAACTTGTGTATATCTGTAGAAAATACGTTATAAACGTATGAATTTTAATATACTGTAGAATAATACGTATACCGTATCTTTTATTTACAATATTTTTGTGAACTGTATACAAAATACTGATATACAGTAGAAATGATATATGTTATAGACGTATGAATTTAATATACTGTATCATACAGTATGTTTACCGTATACTTTATTGTATTTTTTACTAAGCACATTTTGCGAACAGTATACATTATACTGATATGCCGTATGTAAAAATGCAAACTGTATCAAAAATACGTATATACAGTATAAAAACCGTATACATATTTTTTATAGGGAATGTGAAGAACTAAAGTGTAAGAAAGGGAAGGGAAAAGGACAAAGAGAAGGAAAGAAGGAAGCGAAAAGTTTAAAAAGTTTAAAAAAGTTTGTTTAAAAAGACCTGTAAGATGTCGATCTGGATCATCTGATGATTTCAATCATTTACCAACTGATTTGCCGAATTATTGCCAATTAGTTATTGATTTTTACCATTTGGCAAATTTGGCAAAATTGTGTTGATTTATATGACCAATCAGTATAATTTTACTAAATGATCTTAAAGGAACAATTTTTCGTATAACAATCGGTATAAGTTGATTTTTCACTAAAAGACTGAACAAGTATTCATTTAACAATCAGTATCAGTCGATTTGTGATTGATTTTACCAATTTTTGCCATTGGTCAAAAAATGTGACAAATCACATGACCAATCGGCAAAAATTATGCCAAAAGCTTTTAACAGTCGAAAGTTTTGATTTTGACTAGTGACTTCTTGGATATTTTTGATAAAAAATCATAAATAGAAGGATTATTGGATGTGTTCTGTGTTTCTCATAATCAGAGAACTGGTAAGTATATTAATAAAGTCAATTCTCGCCTATTTAAACAAACTGAGATGGCGAAGAGGAAGAAGTGAGCACTATAATAGGATAAAGCGATCTTATGAAGAGTTACCTTTTACACTACCAGAATATAACTTATTGTTTAGTTTTTAACTCTGTCTTTTAACTCTTTTGAAATATATGCAGATTAGAACAATAAGTAGATAACAATAGTGACAAAACAAACGTCACGCAGAAGTCATTTATGACTGATAAGGTTGAAACAATTTCTGAATTACAAAAAATTATTAATAAATTTTATATTTAAGTTGTTTTACTCACGAAGAATGAACGTAACTTGGGTTCTTCCAGAATCTTTTAAGGGAATTGTTTGTGAGTTCTTTTTTTAAAACACCATAATGTAACTGGTTTCTCATTGTTAAATTTTAAATTTAATATATTATAAAAATGAAAATGTAATCAAAAAAATTTATTTAATAGTGTTTAGCGAAGATGATGACTTTTTTGATTTGACTATCAATGACAATGTTGGTTGTGACATTGCTAATTTTTTTCCCCATGGAAATTGTTAATAATTTCTGCACATTATCAAATATTGCCATTTTACTAGTTCTTTGTAATCGTTATGTAACTTTATTTATTCTGTGGATCTCTACATTTAAATTTTTTCCTTATTATTTAATCATAATTAAGTATATAGTACTGTGATAACTGTATATACACAATTACACATATATTACACACTATAAAATTGGCTTGATTTTTAAGTATATATATACATATATACACACACTGCTTGATTTTTAACGCCAAATTATTATTAAAGAATGATATGGTACTATAAAATTTTTGTGATATTTTTAAAATCTAATACAAGTATAATAATTGGTATGTTTATTATAATAAAATGTATTCTTATAATTAATATAAATTGTGAATTTGTAATTATAATAATTATAATGCTATTATTCAGAAAAAGTAAATGCAAATTTATGTAAGTAATAATATATATATATTATCCTAATATTCTTCTTTTTAAAAAATAATTATTACATATACTGTACAATAAATACATCAATTATTAATATAATTACATTTCTTTTTGCTAACTCCTAAATCTTCGTCAATTTTAAAAATAGCATGATAATTTTGACCATTTGTTTCATTTCTTGCAGTAGCTGTAAGTTCCATTTGACCAAATGATAATGCAAAACTAACACTTCTATTAGGACCACGATCAGAAAGATCAATCTTAAGAGTTCCTAACAATTCCATTCCAGCACAATATTTTGGATGATATTCTTTTGTAAAATAAATATAAAATGTAGCACTAGATTGAAATTCATTAATAGGACATAAATCAGATACAAGAATTTCTTTATCAATATCAATAACAGTTCCTCGTTTTGCTATACAATGAAATCTTTCAACGTAACCATCAATTGTTTTCAATTCTGGTGGATCACTTTTTGTAGGTTCCATTAAAACTTTAATTCCATAAGTATAATTTAATATTCGATTCTTTAATATGAAAGGTATTTTTTCTTCAAGTTGATCATATAAACTTAAACCATATAAAGTTGCACCACGAACGACTGCAGCGATAGGATCTTTAGGTACAACAATAGTTTTCACACGATCCTTAAATTTTTCTTCAATTCTATTTTTTAAATATTTTGATTGACCAAAACCTCCAACTAAAAACATAATAGAACATTCATCTCTAGAATTATTAAGTTGAGTTTCTATCATGTTAAGAATTCTTTCAACAATTGGATCAAACATTGATTTTATTTTTTCATAATCAATTTCAATCAACCAATTAATTTTATCCAATTTTTCTTTAATTTCATCTTTAACACATTTTCTTAAAACTTTAATAATATCCAAAATATCTAATTCGTAACAAAAATCAGGATCTTCACCAGTAAATGGAAATTTAGCTTTTCGACAAAAATGTTGAACCATATATTGTAATGACTTGCTCTTCTTATCTTTTAATATGTCAATAGTTGAATCACCAACTATACTACTTAAATATTTAAGGAATGCTTCATCGATAAATGAACTTCCACAATAATCACCAGCTCGTTCAGTAATTTCACCTAATTGATTTTCACCTTCGATTTTACGTGTAGTCAAATCTACTGTGCCACCGCCACAATCAACGATCATAAAAGTTGCTGTAAAAAAAATATTTAAAATTTAGTATAACGGATAATAATTATTGTAATTTATAATTAATTATATATAATACTTACTTCCTATTGAGGCCAAAGAATATTCTTTTAGACATTTTTTCATACAATAAATTGCAGCAGCCTCGGCTAAAAAAAAGAAAAAAAAAAATGAAAAAAGATGAATTTTTTTAAAAAAATACATATAAATCATTTTAACTTACGTTCAGTAGTGAATTGTAAATATTCGGTATTTTCTTTAATAATCAAATCAGCCTTAAATGCACATTCTCTTATTATTGCCATTTCTTTCTTTGAATATTCAGCAGGAACACTAATTACTAAAAGAACATTTTCATGAAAATTCATATCTGGCCAATGATTATTTATTTTAGATTTTATTAACTAAAAAATAAAAAACAAAGATAAAATTTAACATATGTAATATATGATAAGTACATTCATTATACTATATGTGTATGATTGTATGTTACCTTTCCCATTTCTCTGAAATAATCGGTAATAGCAATTTTATAATCAACTGGAATTTTAGGTTTTAAATCATCTTGTAATTTTCCTAAATGTAATTTAAATAAACCGACAGATTTTGGTTCATCTTGAGCTTTAGATTTTCTTTCGGCCCTTTTAGCGAAAGCTGGTTTTCCCCATGATACTGCTTTATCAAGTTTTTCATCATATTGAAGAACCGTATTCATTTTATAATGACCAGTAAGTTCTTCCCAATCAGTATTAGTACAAATTTCTTGACAAGCAGAAGCAGTATGACAGTAAGCAAATCTCTATCAAAAGAAAAAAAGTGTTAATTATTAATTGATTATTCATGAAAAAAATAAAATTGAAATAATTATTATTTAAATAATTTTTAAGTACCGAATAAGTGGTCCCAAAATCTTTTTTTTTTTAAAAAAAAAAAAGAATTCGCGTTAAATAAAATAATTTATTATACGATAACTGATAAACATTTTTTTTTATTTTATTAATTACCTAGACCAACAACTATACGAATATCATTTCTCCACGACATTTTTCTTTTTCTTTTTTTTTTTAACAAGATTTTTTTTACAAAGTTTTTTTTTTTAAAAAAAAAATAAAAAAAAAAAAAATAATAAAAAATAATAAAAAAATAAAAATAATTTTTTAAAATAATTTACTAAGTTATTAAATTTTTATTTTATATAATTTTTATTTATTATTTGTTGGTTTATTTATATATTTATATTTATATTTATATTTATATTTTTTATATTTATTTATTGTTATTTTATTTATTTATTTATATATCAGATATGAGGAGATTCATAACGATAATTTTATTTTTTATAATAAAATTTTTTTTTCACTCACAAAATCATCTGAAGTTTACAAAAAAGTAATTAAATATAAAGTTTTTACTAATGCTTGTGAATAATAAATATTTGAAAGATCGACAATCTAAACAAACGGATTTTCATATGATAAATAAGATAAGTTTGTTATAAAAAGTAAATATATCGTCTAATTTTCGCCAAGGAACTTCTTAAATTTTAGGAGTATATATATAGTATATATATTATAGTATATAGATTATTAAACTAAAAAAAACTGATGATATAAACAATTTTTTTTTTATTACGTCAATATTTATTACGACAGTATTTTATTACGTGTTAACGTTTTAATTCGCGGAAATTCCGGAATTTGTTGTTATAAAAAGAACACTCTTGATGAAAGAGTCAATCAATAATCAGCCGGAATCGTGTAACTTTATAATTTTCTTTATTTAATTTCCTTAATAAACAATGAATTGGGCTTATCATGATTTACCTTTGTTTAACAAAAAAAGTATATGCATAAAGAAACCAAGTTTGTTGGTCAATGGTCTTAATTCTTCCCCTGAAAAAAAAAAAGAAAATAAAGAAAATGCCATTTAAAAAAAGAAATCTCTCAGAAGATCAAAGAAGATCGTAAAGGAAAAAAGAAATATTAAAAACGTGATAATGAAATATTACGTAATCTTTATAATCAAATTTCTTAATCCGATATTTTTGAAAGAAAATTTGGTAAAAATTGAATTAAAAAAGTAAATTTATTTGATATTCATTTCTTTTAAATAAATAAATACTCTTATAAAAAATTAATTTTTTTTTTTTTTTAAAAAAAAAAAATAAAAAAATAAATAAAAATATTATTCAAATAATATTATTCTTAAACATTAATCTCTTTTAATATGACTACAAATTCGGAACCATTTGATAATACAATAAATCTTCTTCGTAAACATTACGAAGAACTTAAAGAAGATAATAGAAGATTAAAAGAAGAAATTGAAGAAATAAAAGAAATAAATAATTTAATTAATAATAATCAAAAAATCAATCCGGATCTTTCAAATTATGTTAAACTTTTTCAATCTCATAAAGAATTACAAGAAAAGTTTAATTCTTTATCATCACAAAAACAAATAATTGAAAAACAACTTGAAGATAATATAAAATTAATTGAAACTAAAGAAAATGAAATAAAGAATTTAATTGAAAATAATTTAAATTTAAAAAAACAAGCTTCAAAATATCAATTTGCACTTGGAGATGCAATAAATTATCAATTGGGTGATGATGATAATAATAATTCAGTTAGATTAAATGATAATATTATTCGATTACAAGATGAAATAGATGATTATATTACCACTTTAAGATCTTCAAAAACAAGAATTCATTTTAAAAAAGTTAATCAACTTTTTTCTAAATATCAATGTAATTTAAAAATGAATTCTAGAACTAAAGAAATAACTCTCATTAAAGCATTATTACAACGTCATGTAATCGAATTCATTCTTAAAAATACAATTAAATATTTTGAGAATTTTATTAATGATAATAATAACATTCTTTCACTTGAATATGAAATTAATTCTAAAGTTAATGAATTAATGAATTTAACTTATAAATTTTCAAAATCTCGTTTTGAAATTAATAATGTTACTTTAGCTGTTCCTATTAAAGTAAGACAACAAATTTTTGCTATTTTAAGTAATCATGGTTTTTCTGATATAATTGATGATAATAATTTAAGATATGAACATAATTTTATTAATCAATTTAAGAATGATCTTAATCAAGAAATAAATTCTTATAGAGAATTATTGGATCCTAAATTAAAAGAAAAAATTGAAAAAAATTCTTCTATTATAATTCGTGATATTATTAGATTATTTTTCTTTAGTTTTAAAACTCAAGAACCAATTGTTAAATGGAAATGGTTTAATAATAATGATAAATTTAATCCAATTCAAATGACTGGTTCATTGGATGATGATGATGATATTGAAAATTCTTTTGTTGAAATATGTATATTCCCTCTTATTTATAAAGATTCTGATTGTTCTTCAAAATTACAAGTTTATACTCCCGCAAAAGTATATATTCGTGAAAATAACTATTCAGATGAAGAAAATGTTGATGAAGATGATGATGAGGAAGAAGAAGAAACAAAAAAAGGTGAAGAAACCAAAGATAAAGAGGAAGAAACCAAGGAAATTAAGAAGGAAATAATCAAAGACAAGGAAATCAAAGAAATTGAGAAAGAAATAAATAAAGAAGAGGAATCTAAAGAAATTAAAGAGGAAAATTTTACTAAAGAAAATGAAACAAGAGATGGAGAAATAATCATAATAATCGGAGAGAAGGAGAACAAAGAAATCAAAACTAAAGAAATTGAAGAGGAAAATTTTATCAAAGAAAATGAAACGCAAGATGGAGAAATAAATAGAGAGAACAAAGAAATTGAGAAAGAAATAAATAAAGAAGAGGAATCTAAAGAAATTAAAGAGGAAAATTTTACTAAAGAAAATGAAACAAAAGATGGAGAAATAATTACAGAGAAGGAGAACAAAGAAATCAAAACTAAAGAAATTGAAGAGGAAAATTTTATCAAAGAAAATGAAACGAAAGATGGAGAAATAAATAGAGAGAACAAAGAAATTGAGAAAGGAATAAACAAAGAAGAGGAATCTAAAGAAATTAAAGAGGAAAATTTTACTAAAGAAAATGAAACAAAAAATGGAGAAATAACCACAGAGAAGGAGAACAAAGAAATCAAACCTAAAGAAATTGAAGAAGAAAATTTTATCAAAGAAAATGAAACGAAAGACGGAGAAATAAACAAAGAGAAGGAAAACGAAAAGGATCAAACTAAAGTAATTAATGAGGAAATAAATAAAGAAGAAGAAACCAAAAAGAAGGAAATCGAAATCAAAAGTGAAGAAAATAAAAAATCAGAAGAAAAGAAACCCAAGAAGAAAAGTATTATGAGTAAAATTTTTAAATCTAGAAATAAAAAATCAAAAGATTCGACTAAATAATAGTATCAGTCTGTTATACCGTTCTCCATAGGCGGTCCTCCCTTTTACAAATAAGGATTAATTAAGTTTTCATTTTCCTAAGTTCAATTTAATAATTCACGATACTTTATTATGAATATGGTAATATTTTATGGAGCAATGTGTTGCCTTTAGAAACTTTAGGCTAAATATAATAAGTCTTATTAAGGAAGTGTCGCGAATTCACATTTTAAAATCTAATGTTATGATAAAACATGGCAAAGCATGGCAGCGTTCCGTTTTTAATATGTACTATATGAAAAGGCGATATTTTTTCATAAATATGTATTAACTAATTACAATAACGATCTACACTATATATTATTTACCACTATACAGAATACATTATTTAATTATTTACAACTATACATTATTTATCACTATATCTATAATCACTATAGTCTATGATATATCGTATATAATAGATGAATTATTATATAAATCTTTTAGTATATTTACTTTTTGCAATTATGCATGTATCCAGTATCAATTCTACGAAGGATTGTACTTAAAATGGTAACTCTAATTAATGTACCGCTCTTCGACTCTTATAATACTTATAAAGATTAAAGTTAATATGCATTAGCTATTTTTAAAAATATACAGGTATCATATGAGTGGGCAATCTATCCAAACCTATAAACTGACCAGGATTTTTCTAGAAGAAAACGCCTATATCACTACACATAAATTCAATTAACTCTTTTTAGCAATTGTTTTTTGAAATCCGGAGTTTAACAATGATATTCCTAATAAAGAACTGTTGTGTTCGGTAAACCCTTTGGGGTAAAACAATAAACTTATTTCTAGTAACAATCTTTAATTGTCACAATTCATGTGAAATTAGCAAAATAAAAAGTGAATTTTTATGTAGATCAGTTGACCAATAATATATAAATAAACTCAGTTCTCAATAGTAAATATTTTAAGTTTATTAATTTGCAAAAAGTGATTCTCCGGTGAGTCTAGAATTTTCTTAATGAAGATATCAGATATGTCATTTGTATTCCAATTTCTGAAACACTTTAAGGAACTTACTTTGATTACTTTCTTATTCTGTAAAATGTGTAAAGATAAATTAACTTTTTTAATTTAATTGAAACTATTAAAAAGTAATCAAGTTCCGAGTTTTCGTTACAAAATTAATTTTTTTTTTTTTTTTTTGCAAGATCGATTTCGATTTTCATCTTTTTGATCACCCCACTTTTCTTTTAATTACGCCAATATATATATTATTAATTAATTACAATCGGAATTTTTACTATTAGGCAATACCGTTTAACCTTACTTAGATGACGTACAACATAATATTTATCTTAATTACAGAAAATTTGAGTTCTAGTAATTAAAAATATTAAAATTTTGAGATGGAAAATATTCTTGTTATAGTCGGTATAGGTAATTAATTATTTTTTTTTTTTTTCATTTATTCTTTTTAAAAAAAGCTCAAAATTTTTTAAATCCTTACTTTTTTTAAAAAAAAAGATTTTGGAACTACATTTACGGTAATTTACGTTTATTCAATTTTCTCTTCTTAAATTAATTTTATTAAACATTATTATTTCTGCAGGGTTTTTCTTATTGTCATGTTGCATCCGAGAATAAAGATATTGTCACAAACGAACAATGGCCCGATGATGTTGGCAAATTTAAAACAAATACAGTTCTTCAATATGATAAAGAGTTTAGTAAAGTGGTACAATGGGGAAAACCAGCTTTAGCTAAAAGACCAAAGCGAAAGAATGATAATAAAAATGAAACAAAACCTGTAGAATTATTTAAATTACATTTAGGTAATTTAAGTGGAAATTTAAAACCTAAACTTCCGATTAATTATAAAAAAGCTATTATAGACTATCTCACTGAAGTTGGAGAGGTATGCAAGAATTAAATTTTAGATTACAATGTAATTATTTAAAATACTTATTTCTTTTTATTAATAAAGTTAATTAGAAAAACACTTAAACCCTCTTGGGATGATGTAGATTTATTTGAGAATGTTCTTTTGGTACTTAGCGTTCCGGCAGAATATTCAGAAAAAGAAAAAGCGATAATGAGAGAATGTGCATATGAAGCTAAATTAATCGGTGATAAAAAGACAGAATTTTTACAATTTACTACTGAACGTATGTTGATTCATTTCTTTTTATCTATTATTTGAATATTAGCTCTTAAATTAATGTATGTATTTTATTTATTTAGCCGAAGCTGCTGCAGTTTATTGTATGGAAAATTGTTTAAAAGAATATGAAACTACTGGTATAGGAAGTAAGTTATTTAATTGTAAATTTTGTAATAATTTAATTAATTTGAATAATAATAATAATTTTTAAATTAATTTATATATTTGTTAGCAACTTTCATGATCGTTGATTGTGGTGGTGGAACTGTTGATTTAACAACTCGTAAACTTATTGGTGATAAAAAAGTTGGCGAAGTTACTGAACGAGCAGGAGATTATTGTGGTAGCGCATTTGTTGATCGAGCATTTTTGGAACATCTTGGAAAAATATTAGGTCATACAGCAATTGATAAATTAAGAGAAGAAAATTACAAACAATTGCAATATTTGGTTCAAAAATTTTGTCGAAGCGCTAAATTTAAATTCAATGGTGATGATGAAAATTTTCATTACGAATTAGATCTTTTAGATACTGCACGTGACTTACAAAAATATGTTACCGGTCCCGCTAAAGAGTTGATGCAAGAAAAAGAATGGATAATTAATATTGAATATAATGATATTAAGTCAATGTTTGATCCAGTAGTTGAAAGAATTCTTGATTTAATAAAGTTACAACTTGAAAATTGTCGTGATGATTGCTCGACAATGTTTTTAGTTGGAGGATTTAGTCAGTCAATTTATTTACAAAATCGTATTAAAAAAGAATTTCAAAATAAGGTTAAAACTATTTCGGTTCCCACTCATCCTATTGCTGCTGTAGTTCGTGGTACTACATTATATGGATTAGGATTATATAACAAATTATCTAATTTACAAAATGAGGATCGTGTAAAATTTGTATTAACGACTCGTGTATTAAAATTTACTTATGGTATTGAGGCTTATGATAATTGGAAAGAAACTGATCCAATAGAACGAAAAAATTTTAGAGGAGATATTTTGAAATTTCATACTATTGCTAGAAGAGGTCAAAAAATTGAAATTGATAAGGAAATTATTGTAAAAGATTTTGTTCCATCTTTTACTTTACAAAAAGTTGTGGTATTTTCTATATATTATACACGAGAATACAATGCAGAATATTGTGATGAACCTGGGATGGAATTATTAGGAAAACTTAAGATAAACATTCCGAATAGAGAATCTGGGCGTATTAATTTTGGTTTATCATTTGGTAGAATGGAAATTACTGCCAGCGCAAAAAATGAAACAAATGGCCAAAGTTATCTTGCCACTTTTGAAATAGATAAAGAGAATGATTAAATGTTATTAGACTAAAAATATATATATATATAAAAATTATTATTTATTAGATTTATTTTTTTTTATTATATAAATATCCTAAAAAATTTTGCAATGGAATTTGGATTTTTATCACTTGAATTTAATAAACTATTATTTCGAATAAAGACTGTTGCTTTGGTATAAGCTTGTAATTTATTAGGTTGCGATTCATCATTTTTATAAATAAGAGGAAAAATACACATTTCAACGGATCCATTCTCATTTTCTCCTTCGTCGTATTCTTCCATTTGATTTGGTTCAAATTCATCATTATCGTCAAGCCACTTGAATTCTGCAATTGGTTCTTGAGTTTTAAGTCTAAAATAAAATAATCTAACAACTTCACGAATAAGATCAGTTACTTTCTTTTCAACATCTTCTTTCTTTTTAGCATCTAATATTTTTCGATAAGATTCCATTTCTTTATTAAGTTTGTCTTTTGAATCTTTGATGAAATCATGTAAAGTGTTAGTTTCTTTAATATTAGAAAATCCACGATTTCCCAATGCAGCAAAACTCTGTTGCCTTATCTTTACGGATAAAGCTGAGGTTATGGCATCACTTCCGGTACGTTCTTTTTCTAATCGTTTTGCTAAATTTTCAAGATCCTCTGCTTGTTTTAAAAATTGTAATTCAAGGGAATTCTTCCGGTTATATTTGTCAAAATAATCAAGAATTGTACGAAGGACATGTCGTTGTAAAACAGCTTTAATGAGAGGCATATAATCATTTAATTCGCTCGAACTATTTAATGTATAAGTAATTTTACTTTTTTTAACTTTAGAGTCGTTAAGAAGTCTACTTATATTCTTTAAATTAATTTCTATATCTGTCTTTGGTCTTAAGTTTGTTACATAAAATTCCAAATCTTCTTGTATTTGCGAAATATCTTCATTAAGATTAGTAGGATTATTTTTATCATCATCACTTAATCGAAAAGTTTTCGCAGATCCAAGTTCATATTGATGTCTCTTTTTTAAATTTATTATTTCATCATCTTTAGATTTTATTTCTTTATCTTTAGATTTTATTTCTTCATCTTTAGATTCAATTTTATCATCTTTAGATTTAATTTCTTTTTTATGCTTATCAATGATTGCTGCAAGAGTTTTATTGAAGTCTTTATTTCCGATTAAATCATTATTAAATTTTTCAATTTCATCTACAAGTTTTCTATTTTCTTCTTCAAGTTTTCTATTTTCTTCCTCAAGTAATTTGCATTTATGACATTCTTTTTTAGAATTCTCATCAAGTACTTCGGTTTCATTATTAATGTCTTTATTAGAATCTGAGGCCATAGTTTTAATAGGTACGTGTGTTTGATATATATCGGATATATCGGATATATTTTAAAAAGAAAAAAAAAAATAATAATAATTTTTTTTTAATAAAAAAAAAAAAAAAAAAAANTTTATGTTTATTAAAAGGCGTGTGATAATTAAGATCTTAAGTTATCACGTTTCTCTATCTTTTATATCTATAACCTAACTTTGGATTTATTTAGAAACTTATTCGGATAGGTCGCACGATTCATGCCATATGCAATGCAATTTTTGAACAATTATTATACATTTAATTATTGTACCAAATTTTATAATGATATATACTAAAGAGATACCAAACATTTATGACCAGAAACTTGTTCACGACGAAAAAAAAAAAAAAATATTTCACACGCCGAAAAATTTCTTTTGTCTAATGATCGATCACATGTTATATTTTAAATCCTTGCATTTTTTTCTTTGTAACATGTAAACAAAGTTATCATAATGTTTCAAATCGGGTAAATTAGTGAAATTATCCAATCAGATTTTACAATTCATAGGATACATGTACAAATTCAATCATATAAAGGTCGACAATTCTGTTAACAGATCACGGATCATAATATAAAATATAATAATTTTAATAATATTTTTTTTAACAAAAATTTTTTATATAATGTTATTAATATTAAAACATTTTATCTGTTATAGTTATAAATTTCTCCCAACGTGAAATCCATCCAATTATTAAAAAAATCTTATGATTGTAATACTTGTGTATACTCACTCAATGCCGGCCAAGTTCCTAATAATTCTGGCCAAAATCGCCATAATTCTGGCCAGGGTGTTTATCACCGAAGGGAAACCACGCAATATTAGGTAAGATTGGATATGCTCAGGTAAGTCTAATGCTTGATTCGTGTTTAGAAGTTTCAATAATATTAACGCATTTTATTTCTTAGAATCTGGCGCAACTTGAAAGTGCATTCCAGACCAATAAAAAGAAACGAACTGCGGATCAAGCGTCTATTTTGACGGTATTGTGACCACGGGTACAGAGTGGCATTTTATCATATATACTCCGGATGGCATTTTACTCGAATATCAGATTAATCTTACAAAGCCTGCGATAAAGAAAATCCCGAATTACTTCGAAGCAACGTGAAAAGGGTAATAGGTATTACTGTTGGGTTGTTGAAGGATTGGGTGCTAGGATCAAAAAATATATTAAAAAATAATATATATGATGGGCTATGTCCCGATAATTGTATTTATTTTTCGCATGTATCACGAGAAAGTTTGAGAATAAATTATTACTCGTTCTTACGTATATTATTGCTAATGATGATAGATATGTCATGTGAATTGATCTACTCAAGCGAATAACATTATAAAATGATACAATTACTTTATCGTTACTCGGCGCATTTTCGGTTCTTGAGCGCGTGTTCTGATTCCTTATTAAATAATTGAGTAACACATATTTATCATACGAAAGTATAACTCCGAAGTTTATCACGAAGTTTATCAAAAAGTTTAGTAATAATGGTTTCTTTGTTCTCATCTTATAAAATCCAAAATCTTTTTTTTCGCTTTACCTTAAAAGTTTTACAAGTTTACATAATGTCTTTTACAATCTGGATTAAATATAACAACGAACAGGCAGTTAGTGTCGAATTTCAGACAGGAACTATAGATAAGTTGCAACCTTGGGTAAGGTGAATAATGGTAAGATTATTCTTCGAAAACACGAAGCTACTGTCGATTTGGAATCAGATGAGATTGTAGACCAAAGCTTTGCAAATACTGCCAAGGCACCCATTCAAGTTTTTACCACTGGTAAGCGACGTGACGTGTAATCTTTTTGATAATTGTAAAAGAATTGGGGTTTTTAAGGGAATAGGATAACGTCTGCGCTGTATATTCTAATCTTTGAGAACACCTTCCTTGTTCAAATCTACGATAATGAGGGTAAACCATTGTCTGGGAAATTTGCAGAGTTTCGAAGCAAGTGGATTGGAACGCATATCTGATAACGATGAAATAACAAAGGTTATCACCTCTTAGAAAAAATAGAACCTGGTGAACGCTATCAAATAGTGGCTTTCCATATAACAACAATCAGAAAGGATGTTGACTGGTCTCAAATTGAGGACAAAGCAGTAGAGGATGAAACTTTATTAGCCGTAAAGAATTTTCTCAATAAAATGTTCAAGTTAACTGTAGAAATATTTCCTCACCGAATAATGTATAAGAATCAAGAATCGATAATGGAATGGGACGGGATTCTCACTTGTGATAATAAGGTGTTCTTACTCGAAACGAAACATAAAATGACGGCCGTATGTATAAAAAATTATCATCTATTCTGAAATTCCTGTATTTATTGATAGCCCGGCTCACTTATAAATCTTTTATTCAGAAACATATAGAAAATCTCATTAATCGATTAAGTGAATTCCAAAATAAGCTCTTAATTACAGATAGTTTGGAATTTAAAAAATTGTTAGGAAACATCATGTTAGAGTTGCTTGCGGTACGTTATTTACTGACGAATTGAGGAGTATGTCAATAGATAAAGGGTTAATGGTGGTTTTTCCAAGTGGTGATAGATATAAAAGTAGAGGCGCCACAAGGATTGATGGGTGCTATGAAAATTTGTACATATTTGTAGAACTAATCAATGTGTATTATTAGTTTCTCATATCAAGTTATTTTTAATGTTTAATGCAGTATTGTACGGATGTATCGGGTATTGGGAAAATAAAAGAAAAATAATATAAATACAAGTATATCGATCATTTGTTAATTTTTTCTTGACAAAATAAAACTTTTGCCGGATTTATGTTTGCAAAAATTTACTCGATGTAGTACAAATAAAAACATCTGTGATGTCACAGGAACTCCCGTCTGGCATCATCATGTTACCACGGACTGCGCCGGGCCGGGCTGTGCAACATAAGATTTTCGCAGATTTTTTTTGAAAAAAAATTTTTCCCTTCCGGTTACCTATGCTAACTATCCGCGTGGATTTATGTGTATGCTAATTACCGTGATTTACGAAATGACGAAATGCAGTACGTCATGATTCGGGAATCGTTTGTTCTTGGGGAATTCAAGCGCTATAAAACAAGTTGGGTCAAATGGTTATTTTATGCTCAAGTTCATTTAGTCATATACGAAAGGTAGTATGTATACAAATCCCATCGAAGTTCTTGCTATAAATATTCTAAGAAAGATAAGAATTCTTCCTGAGAATGATTTTCCGGAGATTTTTTATTTTTCGCTTTTGTACAAAAGCTAACTGATATTATCGATATAGATGAACTTAAACATGTGAAAAAAAAGCGGAAGGCAGACGAGGCATTCGACTATGAGTATGAATACGTATATGGCATTGTCACGACAGGTGAGAAGATCGTTTCGGGATGTTTTTTATTTTTAAGTTTATGCAATACTAACTTGAAACTTTCTTAATCTTCGTGCAAATAACAACTGACTGGTATTTCATCCTTCACAGCACTGAAGGCATTTTCTGTATGAGAAAAACTGAATATCGAATCTCACTAACGGAAGACGCCATCAAAGATCCTACCGACTTGCGCAAGAACGTGAAGAGGATTTTAGAGGTTATAGTGCTTGTTAAAGGATAGGATAACAGCTAGTGAGGAAACTCCGTGTATAAGAGATAATCAAGAAAAATAAGCATGTATAGTAGCATAGAAAATTCGTCATGTTTTTCTTGGCGAAAGAAATCTGCGTTCCAAATCGAAACGGACGCGTGATTATTTTATTTTGAATGCTTATATAAAAGTGTTATTAAAAATAGAATCCGAGATTGACTTACCTAGGCAAGAAAATGCCAGACTTGTGGCTAAGAATTACGAGATCGTGAAACTGAGGCAGATTATTGAGGAGGATGTTAGAGTTGAGGAACTAGAGCATAAAAATACGGAACTTGAGGCTAGACTCGCGATATTGGAACAGAGTTCCTTGGTGGTGGGTGAACAACCACAGAATGATAAGGAAACGATTGTAGAGGTGCTACCAGAGGTGACGGTATCAAATATTGATTTATCTAACACCGTAATAGACCAGCGAAATAATGTTGACACTAAAACATCGGGGGAAATGGAGATGGATGCTTTCTTGGTTGAGGTAAATAAGAAAAGCATTTGTGACAAATTTAGAGAGAGGAAGCGAGAAAAGAAGGTTCAGCATAATACGATTGCCAAAGACTCATCCTGACTTGACTCACTGAGAGGAGGATCTCTCCATGACTAGCGCTAAACCTGTAACTCTCCCAGAACGGATAGTCAAAGAATCGACTCCAGCCTGTAAGTCAGTTACCTCTGGTAACAAATCATCTGCTGGGACATCACCAGTAAAATCATCTATGGTGGACAAACAGGCTCCGACTCCTGAGGACTTCTGAGAACATAGTTCTTTAGAAGCAATTCTGATGGGATCTAGTGAAGTTACGGCACAGAATATAGTTGATCTATTTAGAGTAGCAATGAAGCTTTAGACGTAAGGAGATTGTATACTGGTATTGTTACTATAAAGCATATGAGGATCGAGTATGTATTTTATTATCGTATTGTAATAAAAAAAAAATTTTAGTTGAAATTTTATTGGCCAGTAAATGTTGATCATCACGTGAAATTAAACTTTTTTCTTAACGTTATCACGTATTATTTTCGCCGGACATACGTAAAAAGTAGAAATGTAATTATCGCCCGAATGTTTTGGATGCGTCGATAGAGACCCGGAATAGAGACCTGGAATCAGTGTCTTAAAACGATCACCAGAAAGCGCTTGTTAGATGAGTCTAGTGTGCGTACCTATAAGGAGTCGGTAATGATCAGTTCTTCAAAGTTGATTAATTGCATGACTTTTTTTTGATTTGATATATTGTCTTGTTTGTATTTACAAACTTTGCATGAATTTATCTGATATACTGCCATGATTAAAAGCAACGTCAAACTAGACACGGAAGAAATATTCCAAATTATTGCGAATCTGAAGAATCAGAATATGAACCCAAGAGGATAAGGAGAGAAAGTAATACCAATTATTCACAGATAACAGAATCTCAGCAATCTGCCACACTGTATTTAACACCACCGATGACGGAGGTCGTTGAATCCTCAAGCTCAAATTCAAATTTAGAGAATTTAGACGGATCTAAGGTATCATACTTATTTTTTTTACCAGATTTATACACATAAATCATCCAATTCTAACCTACTTTTGAAATCTATCAAAAATCCAAGATCACAATTTGTCCATAATGAATCTAGTTCTCGTGAAAGCACGCATGTCCAAGTCCAACTCGTTCAGCCACACATACTTTAATAAAGACGCCTAATAAACCAATTATTACGAAGGCTATTTATAATGAATATTCTTCTGCACGTATAATGCTTTCAATTCAACAATTCATCTTATCAAGGCAACTATTGAAAAACAAGTGTATGAGAAAATTATAAATGGGAGACAACCAGAAATAAAAATGAAAATCAACACGGTGTTTCATCGTGAAAGGGCAAACGTTCAATAGAAAAAAAGGTGCAGATAAAAATTATCATCATCATGAACTCTTTAATATTTGTCTCCGAAATTATTTTAGATTCGATTTCAGAATAACTTGCTTGAAATATGTTTTCTTTGATTATCGAATCACTTATAACCGTTACCGTACTTATACTCTGATAACGAAAGTTGGTGTCTTCGGTATATTTAAATATTTAGTATTAACTATTTGTTATTACCGATCCTTTTACTTATTTTATAATATTCTATATTAGGTGGCTACAGTGATAGTGGTTCTTTTTCAAATAGAAGCTTTAAAAAAAATTCTTTAATTTTAAATGAGATTTTTTTGAACATCACATCTTTGTTCATTCGGGTCTTCTGAATATAGAATGTTATATCGCAATAAAGATTATGATCATAATAACGTTTCGTTGACTTAATATAGTGTATACGTGTAATTTCCTTAAAAAAATCATCGTAATTTGACGATCTGTTTGAATGTTGATATAAATATAACAAGATTTCAGTCAATCTTACCACGACAACTTTTCTCACGTACATGCACAAGCATTACTAATTCTTTTCTTTTTAATGCTCATAAAAGGTTTAACTAATTATTTGCATCTAAAACCTCTTTAAAAATTTATTAAATTGACAATTGGCAATTTATAATGAAAAGCTGATATCATTCACGAGTTTTACCCACAGAAAACTTTAAAATGACACATTTTTCGAATAAAGAAGTAAAAATATGTTAAATTTAATTTATTACGGTTTTTTATTAATTGATTAATTACATTTACTCAACACAACCGCAATGAAACAAAAGGTGACGTTCGTGGGTTCGGTAAAGTAGGAATTTAACGAATGTACTTTGAAGAAAATTTTGGGAAATACACTTTTTTTTTTTAATAATAAAGAGACCATTTTCTTTACAGGTTAACAAACGAAGTTAACGGTTTATTTACCGAGTTAAGCAAATTTAACTGGTATGGTCTTTTTTTTTTCATTTTAAGAAGGTAAGTTATTCAAGGAACTGAGGAAGGTATAACGGAAGAATCTCGAGACAAGTTTGTATAAAGTTATTCATTTTCTTAAAATGGTGTCTATTTCTAGGGTGCGTATTTACAATTACAAGCCAAGCACTAAAGAGTAAAGACCGAAAAGGAGGTGATACTGTTAAGAAGAGGTAATAGAATTCTCAAATTCTCAAATTCTCAAAATCCATGTTTATCTAATCGTATCATATGATACCGAAGAATATAATGGTAAATAAGGAACGAAACGGGGAAAATTTTTGGGAAAATATTACGCAACATGCAAGAAAAAATTTATACTAAGTTAACTTTTTCTCTAAACCTTTTACAGGCAAAAAAGATCGAAATATAATAATTTTCGATAAGAGATCTACAAAAGATAAAGCATTCATAGAATTTTGTTAAGAGAAAAATTTAACCTCGTTAAAAAGTCGCAGTATTTTACTATTAAAATGATTTACAAAATTGATGAGAAGTATAGATTTTCAACGCATTGTTTTTTCCGAATAAGTAACGATCAAATTGGATGATCAGATCGCACGTTTTAACGGTCTAAAAAATCAAATTGAAGGAGTCGCGAGAAAAATCGTTTTCCTATAATAAGAGAGTGAAAGTGAAAAAAAAAAAAAAAAAAAAAATCGCTCTTATTTCTCTTATTTCAGTCATTATTCATCACGAAAGAGGTGGGTAAGGCTATTTTTCAATTGAGTTGACATCTAATTATTTGTTAGTATCAAGAGGTGGGTTTAAGAATCAACCTTTTGTTATCCGACAAATAAAAATTTATTGAAGTTCCTTTAAATCAGGTATTTTTTTACCTAGATTTAAGACATTTTCAAACGTTGTGTATTAATAACCGATGGTTATTCTTACCTCAAAATAATCGCAAATTAAGTACCATCGTGATTTTTTTGGTAGTTAATACCTATAAATTCGCAGTGGTATAATTCGCCATTACGTTTGGTGTTCAAAAAAAGACTTTTTTTTTGGTCAACAAACGAGGAAGGTTAAAGATCGGGCAAATTGAATCCGGTTGAGGCTGATCTTCGAGGTTCGCTCATGAGCGTACCA